TTATTATTATTATTATCGTGATCTTTGTTAGGAATTTGCGATCTTGAACATGTGCAATTGCTTCATTAGATTTGTGTTTGTTAATTTTATTTTTCTGATGATGCCCTGATCTTCGTTTGGTTTTTGTTTTTTTAAGGTGCTGATGTTAAGAAGAATGTTGTTGTTACCGTTTCCTCGGACAAAGGTCTTTGTGGTGGAATCAATTCCACATCTGTCAAGATAAGCAGGGTTTTGCACAAATTGAATTCCGGTAATTTTTGCAGCTGTGTCTGTTACAGACTTCTTATACTGTGTTGTTTTTAAAACATTAAAAGTGAAATGGTTGGAAATGTAAGTTTGTAATGTTGGCTGGTTTTAAACCACTCAATGTTTTGGATCCTTTTAACCAACTGACGGGCTTATGTTATTTTCAATGTACAGAACCTTTTTGCTATGTAATATACTTTAGTAGGAATGTCAACGAGTCCTAATGATGTAGTCCCTAGATTTTTATACAATCAAGAAAACGAGGAAAAAATATCACTATCATGTATGCTCCTGAAATATTATTTACCTTGATAATTGGGTTAAAATTATTATATTATATGATGTGAACGGGGGATCATTTGGTTTTAACATGTATTATGTCCAAAATCTTAAAAAGTCATAAAGTTAATATTAACTGTAAAATCAAGCCTGGGCGATCTTACTGTTGGGTCACATGTAGATATCAAGTTTTAGGTGTAAGGTTTGTTAAGATATCTCACATTGGTTAGGACTATGGCCAGAATCCTACTTATAAGGCATGCGTATCCTTCTTTGTTGAGCTATGTTTTGGTTCATATGGGCCAAGTTCTTTTTTAACTTAATATTGTACTCAATCTAGATTTAATATTAAGCCAAGTATAGAAGTCCAGTCCTACTAACTTCATACTCTAGATATTCGTCTACAGTGTGAAGGGTGTGATAAGATTTCTCTCATTGGCTAGAATATGATGTAATTCTCCTTATAAGATATATGAACAATACTTCTCCCTTCAGCTTCTTTCGGTGTTGAGCTAAGCCTGATCCATTTCTAATAGCAGTGTTGCACACCATTTTTTTTGACAGTCTGAGTTTTACTAATTTTATGTATAAAAAGATTTGCTTTCTCATTTTCATGACTTCTGTTATTATTTATTTATTTTAGCTTAAGATATAAACTTTTGCATATTAATTATGAGTATATCTTAAATTTTGGATACTTCTTTTTAGCATTTTATATGTAGTATAGAATATTTAATTTGTATGTATGATCTTTAATAATAGAAGGCATCCTGCAATCCACTTTCTCACTGTTATGTTTTCAAGGTTGACCTATCCGAGATTGATAACTATGATTTTAATTGTGTGCCTATTTACTACAATAGGGCCTGATAAAGAGACAAAATATGTCATACTGGGAGAGAAGGCTAAGGCTCAATTGGTACGTGACTCAAAGAAAAATATCGAGCTCTCCCTTACTGAATTGCAGAAGAATCCTCTGAATTACACTCAGGTTAGCTTGTTGTGTCTCTCTTCCATCCAATGGTTCTTAAGTTTTGCATAATTATATTTGTGCCTCTATATTTTTTTTTTCTATAGCCTGCTTTTGTTTTAATCTACTCTATAGTCTGAAAATTAAGCTTTCTCTGAATTGATTATACTACAGATGGTAATAGAACCAAAATTTTGAAGATTTTGAAAGTTTGGTATTCAATAGGCAACCATTTGTGAGGATAAAAGGAATCAAATAATGGAGAATATTGAGGTTGAAGCAGAGAACAGTAACATAATATGTTACAGATGTGAAATTTTAGAATGCTTTTGAATAATAAAATACTATGTCGAATATTTTCAATGCAATTTATTTTCTCTGCTCAGCTGCTTAAAAATTAAATTTTTAGAAGAAAAACTGAAATTATAACCTTCCTCTAAATGGTTTTAATAACATTTTCTGATTGAGCCTAATATGCACGTTGGCCTTTGTAGCCAACCTGACTCAGGTGAGCAAATCTTGTTCTTGTTGAAATTCAAACATAGAACATGTTTGGTTTACTAGATTTATATATATATATATATGTGTGTGTGTGTGTGTGTGTATGTATATATATATATATATATATATATATATATATATATATGTATGTATGTATGTATGTATGTATGTATGTATGTATATGTATATATTAAGTCCATTAAGATAGAGCATCGCTAGGTCAATGACTGCATGTGTGGTATTGTCAGCTTAGAAATTCAGTTGTTCCATCATGTTTTGTTCTTAAAAGGTGTCTCAGAGGATTAATGAAGGAAGGTGTATTCAAATTGTTCTTGGTCAATTCGTAAGTGATGTGAGATTATTGAGCATATTAAAAGAAACCTTAGTCAAAGGCTAAGGGTAACAAGGGTTCATTTTTGGAACCAGTTTTCCTTTTCCACATATGATGTTCTAACCTAAAGTCCACTAAGGTTGAACATTGTTAGGATTAATCAATACATCTAAGGAATTGTCTGTATTGGAGTGGCCTCATCATAGTTTTATCCTTAAAAGGTATCTCAGTGTTAAGAAAGAAAGACGCTTTTAAATCGCCCTTAACCTTAACTCCTAAAAAAATGAGACTATTGGATGTAGCGAAACAATAAATATATATGTGTGTTTGTATGTATGTACGTATACACACGCATATTCTATATAGCATTCTTAACATACAACTAAGCTAATGTTTTTCATTGCTAAAATAAACATATTGTAGTACTTGATTTTGGTGTCTGCAAATGAAATTTGTGTCCGACATATTTACATTTAAAATAAATATGCTTGATTTACTCAATCTTGCATTGAAATGTGGCCTTTTGTCTTATGCTATTTGTTGGATCTTTCAGGTGTCTGTCTTGGCAGATGACATTCTAAAGAATGTGGAGTATGATGCATTAAGGATTGTTTTCAACAAATTTCATTCTGTTGTTTCATTTTTGCCAACAGTGTCAACTATACTATCTCCTGAGGTACTTCTATTTACTGTATTTTTTATATTGTCTACAGTATTAAAATTTTTCTATTTGAGTCCTGTCATCTAATCTTGGTTTATTGTTGCTTTGATATTTTGGGCACGTTTTGGAAAGATATGCTTTGGTATTCTGCCTTTTACTTTCAACTTATGAAGTAAGGTAATTTTCATGTAGGTTATCGAGAGAGAGGCTGAATCAGGAGGAAAGCTTGGGGAACTAGATTCATATGAGATTGAAGGTGGCGAGACAAAATCTGAAATTCTTCAGAATCTGGCTGAGTTCCAGTTTTCTTGTGTAAGTAATTTTAAAAACATTCTGACAAAATAGCTTTTAGTGCATTTTTTTTGCTTTACTATAATGGATATTAATATAAACATCTTGTATTGGCCTATTGAAATTTTATGGTAATGTTTCTTTTACTTAGTTCATAGGAAATGATAACTCGATATCTTTTCATACACGTCAAAATGATAGAAAAAAATATCCTTTAACCCGACACCCGATATGTCTACTTTTCCTAAACTGATGGCAATAAAATAATATCTTCACAAGAGAAAATCGTCCCTGATGAAATGACTAATTGTTGGAGCCCAGGGCAGGTCTAAACATGAGCGGTGTATGGGGGATGGATGTATGTGTTCTTTTATCTGCACGGGAAGAGGTTTCTAGGATTGCAATTGGTGACCTCCAGAGACTAGGGCAACGACCTTATTGTTGTGCTAGGACTAACCCACAACTATTGAAGCTATACTAAGGAAAAGAAAGAAAGAAACTTGGAAAAAGTTCCATGGTCGGAATTTATTCCTGTTGTATATTATACACTTACCATGCTAACTAGTAAAATGTGTGATCCTCCTTTTAATAGACCTTTTCATGGACGAATTCTGAATTGTTTTCCCATGTCAATAAGAAAAATGAAAATTTTGAT